TTGTGACGCTTTCGCCATGGACCATGCCCAGACCGACAGTGATATCGATAAATGACAGCTGAAAAAAGGCTAAGGCGTATCCTGGTTTGATTCGAATTTTCATGCTCATCACCATGTATTTCGTGATGTGAGAGTAAGGATCGCATAGTCGCGTCGGTTATTGGCTAGTGGAACAAATCGTATTGCGTCACATTCAAGATACGCTCGGACCTAATGCCTAGAGGCCAACATATGTTGAACCCTTTGTCATTAAGTAGGGTTCCCCGCGCTGATTGTCTCTAACGTAAAAGGGGTATTTGACAAGTTATGTCAGACAGGGCACTGATGACCGTAAATGAAGTAACTTCATGTTGGTTCATTGGATCTTGTCCAGACGCTTCGTCAGATGTTTCCTAAGGAAATGGTATGTGATGCTGGGCAACCCAGTATAATCAGCTGATGAATTAAAACTTCCCATGATTAGTTCACACAGGGCACGTCGCAGTCATCATTTCTTATCTTTTATCCATACTAACAGCCAATCTCTTCCTATCGCCTTATCCCACACCCATCAGATATAATTTGCGTATACACGCGTATATAAGATAGCCATAGGCAGGGATATTAGGCGTTAGGCATAGTGATGCTGGTACTTGACGTACCGTAGGCCTCTGCCCGTAATTTAGTTGGTGTAATGTTACCGCACCGAGCAGCGCACGTCTGTAAAGGCAAATGTTCTGGTGTCGCGACCAGGGTTCTCCCTACCGTTGCGTCAAACGCGCGGGCGCGCGCGCTACCCGTTTTGGGAAAACTCCACCCCTGTTTCAATCGTGCGCCCCGTTTAAAATACCTCCGCCCCGATTAAATTCCACGACAATAAAAAGTTGCCAGGCGAGGAATCGATCGTCAAGATCGCCATTCGCCAGGACACCCGGCACGTGTGATTTACGCTGCCACGCATGCCAACTGGCAGACAATACACAAGTACAAACAGTCAACCTGCTCCGCACAGCCCAACACTAACTGTACACCGACTCTTCTCTCTTATATATAATACAAGAAACCCAAATTACGCATCTATGGTGTGGTGACGTTTTACGCAATTAATTAGTGGTAGCGTAAAAAAACACGCCCCTCGGACACCCCCCAGTCCCTTCCCCCCCCCCCCTGTCCCCTCCCCTCTCCTGTTGAATTTCATCGCTGGCGGAGAACGCCTGGGACCCGTTGCCAAAAATCACGGTTTTGCTCCGACGGTCCGACGGCTTTTTGGCGAGCGACTGAAGTAGGTACATCATCTTATAAAGCCAAACGCGATTAGGTAATTTGTCCAATATCCACTGCTAAATTACTAAGAAATGTCTAAGTTGAAATCCGTAAATCTGGCTAATCTGGCAGCCAACGCTAAATTCGCTTGGACAAGCAAGATAGCCTGCGATTCGGTAGGTGACATCACATGTTGCTACGGGTGTGCTCAAGAGAATGTTTTGTCGGGATGTCGTAACGACTAAATGAAGCTAGTGAATCGTATCTCTGGGTGTATTCTCGGTATTGAGGCACAAGTAAATAACCGTGGGGCTAATGAAACGGTTACCCACATATGTCTTCAATTTCGGACAGCAGGTGTATTCGGTTGACCAATATACGTAAATACGCGAGTGCCGTCTGCTTTCCATGTTTAGTCTGTGGCCGTGGTTAGTCCGCGATCCCCCCATAGTGTTTGGCCCCCAACACAGCCTACTTTATTATCACCGACGTCCGTGATTCGTACGTGATTCCACGTGTCATTACAATCAGAGCTACTGTTACGTATATACAGTTACGGTACTGTACTATCACTAAGCATTGCATACGGTCAGCATGCGTGCGAAAAATGTCCGGTGCACTATAAACTGTATCACACGCCGTTTCGCCGTATGCGTTTCGAAACTGTAAACAAGTCAGTCAACTATTTCTTGGACTGCGAATTTCAATTAGACATTTCTTAGTAACCAGCAGTGATATTTGACAAACTAATAACGCATTTGGCTATAAGGGGGTTCTCACTACGTTGCGCAAACGGGCGCGCGAGCGCCCCGTTTGGGAAAACTCCCCCCTGTTTGAATCGTTGCGCCCCGTTTAAATTACCCTCCGCCCCGTTAATCCACCACAATAAAGTTTGCCAGCGCGGGAATCGATCGTCAAGAATTGCCGTTCGACCAGGACATCCGACGCGTCTATTTTTACCGTACAACGCATGCACTGCACAGACAGTACACAAGTTAACCTGACAATGCACAGTTAACGCTAGTCACTAACTGTACACCGACTCGGCTACTTTATATATACAAGAACCCAAATACCGTCTATGCGTGTCGGTTGGCGATTTTACGCATTAACTTAGTCGTACGGTAAAAATACACGCGCCCCCGGGACCCCCTAGTTTCCCCCCTCCCCCCTGTTTGAATTTCATCCTGGGGAGAACCCTGATAAGGTAATGTACTTATTAACTACACAAGGTGCCAGTTACTGTAGCATTCGTCAACTTTGCATAATCAATGGGCCTATTATGCCTTTAAATTATAACATAACTTAAGTTATATCTCGTACAGACTGAGACTAGGGCCCTACCTACGAATTTTAGCGCGCGTGAGATGCGCTAAAATTCGTAATTTAAAATTCGATAATTTTACCATACTTTAAATGAGTCATCGCATCAGTTCTCCCACCGCTCAGTTCCCTGCTTGCCACGTCACCCTGCAGACAGCGAGGTACAGCGAGCGTACAATTACGTGACCTAAATAAGGCTCATAGGGTCTATGTCCCCCAGGGTGCTGCCGGAACGTACCCTGGGTACGGTCCGGTATACCGGAACGTACCCTGCTAACTATTTGATATGGTTAGGGTAATCCCTAGACTCGTAAGTGGAGTAGGCGAGGTACGGTCCGGTATATTAGATAGTACCAGGGTACGTTCCGGTATACCGGACCGTACCCAGGGTACATTCCGGCAGTACCCTGGGGGACATAGACCCTTTCAGCCTAAATAAGGCTATGCGCCTGGCGAAACTTAGCGCGCACTAGGAACCGGATTGCGTACATACACAGCTTAGAGCGGGATAACTTAGTTAGCCCTGCTTCATTTGTGGGGCTAGCCTGGAGCAGGCCAGCGCGTATTTGGAGTGGGATATAGCGTGTACACACTGCAATATTTAGAGACGCGCGCGCTAGTTTAATAACATCAAATTCGTAGTCTGTACGGGGTATTAATTAATTCATACTGTAATTATAAATGTTCAAAATAGTCGTTTATTTAATGGAAATAATATGATGGATGCAATGCCAATACCGTTGAGAAGTTTGAAGAGTTTAGTTGCCGTTTGCCTTCGTTCTGACTTCTGTTGGCAGTAAGCATTATCATTGACAGTGCTGTGAGTGTGACACAATGAATAAAGGAAGAAGGGCGATACATGTAGAGCTATGATCGTGACTGTAGTTTGAACCTGGAGGTGTGTGAATAGGGCTCGTAGAACTATGCACACTAGGGGATGCGATTTTGTCAACAAATGTTAATATTTGCGATTTTTTACTTCAGAAGAGACGAGTGCAGCTGACGCCAGAGCAGACCAGTGATTTTTATGCCGAGCATTACGGGAAGATGTTCTTCCCCAATCTTGTCACGTTTATGTCGAGTGGACCCGTGCTTGCTCTCATCTTAGCACAGGATAAGGCAATATCTAAATGGAGAGAAATGATTGGTCCTACAAACACTCAAAATGCTAGAGAGATACAGCCGGAAAGGTGAATCTAATATAATTAAACGTGTGCCTTGGGTTAGGGGGACATCAACCCCTTTAGAACAAACAGTAGTCGATAAAGGTCACTTTTTAGACCACTTGAGAGACAGTTACACAGTAAAACTACATCTATATTGTTGCATTATAGAAATGTATTTAAGATTGTGAGTAACTTATGAGCTGTTTATTCACACGTCAGTGTGGCTTGCTACATGATGTAAAGAGAGCGACTGCCGCACGTGCAGCGCTTATATACGGCAGTCTGGTAGCAGGAGCCACCGTCACTAGCTATGTGTGAACACTTGAACACACGTTAACCAATGGTGTAATCACTAACACAACATCTACCTTTCTGGAGCTCTGAGAGAGCTTTTAAATAAAATGACTGCTCATTAAGTTCTCAGTTAGAAAACACACATATATAACTGGACTGAACACATAATTCATATCAAATGTAACTTAGACAAAGTGCTTGTATTTTGACGGGAATCTCACGACCCGACCGCTCCTGGTGGTCCGCAGATGCGGTCGCTCTACGTCGGAGTGACGTTCTGGCTGATCTGGTAACCCCTGTCCGGGTGACGGAGGACAACTGTCTCTAACACCGGCGAGGGAGGAGTTAGAGCTACCCTCGGTGACTCGGGTGACGGAGGATCTAGCATCCCTGGCGTCGAGGTACCAGGTGTTACCGGGCTAATCTTGTTGAGCTGGGCCCTGTTCCTCGTAAGTGCCTGGAAAGTGGGGGTTGTGACCACATAGGAACGGGAATGCCCACCAGTTCCTGACACCACGCCAGACTCCTGTCTGTCAGGCACCCAGACTTCGTCTGTTGACTGGAGACTTGGCAGTTCTTTCGCTCTCCTACGAAGATCGAAGTTGCATTTTGTTTTCTCCCTGTATGCCTCTTCTCTCTCTCTCTAATCTGGCTTGTGTTCGGCTGTTGTACAGACAACCCTTTTTTCACAACCAGAATCCTAGTTCGCAACGACCTAGCCATGCAAAGTTCTGCAGGGCTATACCCGTTCAAGAGAGGCGCATTCCTATAATTGAGCATTGCGATGTATGGATCACCAGCAGCGGGTAAAAGTCTTTTTACAGTTTGCACTGTGCGCTCTGCCTCACCGTTGCCTGATGGATGCCCTGGCCTGCTAGTGATGTGAGCAAACCCAAACGCATGGCTGAACTGCTCAAACTCCTGTGAAGCGTACTGCGGACCGTTATCTGAGATGACAGTCTCTGCAATACCGTGCCGGGCGAAGATTGACTTCATGTGGTTGATCACTGCCCGAGACGACGTTAACTCCAGCCGAGATACTTCGATGTATCGCGAGTAGTAGTCTACCACCAGTAGATACTTACTCTTCTTCAGTTCAAACAAGTCCGTGGCAACTTTCTGCCATGGCCGATCTAGCATTGCTGAGGGAATAAGTGGTTCAACTCTGCTATTGGCAGATTGGTTGCATTCCCTGCAGCGTTCCACAAGATTTGCCAGATCTCTGCTTACACCAGGCCACCATACAGCTCGCTTCGCTAGTTCGCGGCACTTCGTTATACCTTGATGTCCTTCGTGCAGCTTCTCTAAGATGTCAGATCTTAGACTGCGAGGGATGACGATCCTGGTGCCACATAGAAGGAGATTATCCACGACAGTCAGCTCCATCCTATTGGGCCAATACTGTTTCTCGAGTCCTTTCAGACAGTTTCTTTCAGGCCATCCTTCCTCTACATACTGGATCACCTCGCGACATACGTCATTCTCCTGTTGGTGGTCACGGATGTTTTCTAAACGTTTATCTGTTGCAGGAACTGATTCGGTGATCGTCCGCACAAACGCATCTGTTTCCTATTCCAACGTACCATCTCTCTGTGTGATGACGGAACCGAGGCCATATAGTGAGGCATCACTGGTGACCTTGGTCTCGCGAGAAGGATCATACAATGCTAAACATGGAGCATCTGACAATATAGTTTTGACATTCTCAAATGCTGTCTCCTGCAGTTTACCCCACTGCCACATGTTTGTCTTGCTAAGAAGATCTCGCATAGGCTTGGTCAATTCAGCTAAGTCAAGGGTGAACTTTCCCATCTGATTCACCATGCCCAAAAATCTCCTGAGTTCACTGACATTGGTTGGCACAGGCATGTCCCTGACAGCACCAACCTTTCCAGTATCAGCTGTGATGCCATCTGCAGACACGATTTGACCTAAACACTTGATGGAGCTCTGGCTACAGACACACTTGTCTCGGTTCAGAGTGACTCCGGCGTTCTCTAGGCGAGTAAGAGCCCTAGTCAAGTTCGCATCATGTTCTGCTTGGTTACGACCAAAAACCATGACGACATCTATTAGTGAAACTGCCCCCGGAGTATCATTTAGAATCTGAGCTATTCGCTTTGAGAAGTGTTCCGGAGCGCTGGAGATCCTGAAGGGAAGACGGTTGAAACAGAATCGACCAAATGGAGTGATGACCGTCGTCAGCTTCCTTGACTTCTCTGATAAAGGAATCTGATGAAACCCTGCATTAGCATCTACCTTAGAGAATACTTTTGCATTGGCCAGCTGCCCGAGTACATAATCGACTGGCGGTAACATATGTCTTTCATGCTGGACTGCCACGTTGAGCTTAGTCAGATCCACACACAGGCAAACGTCTCCTGATGGCTTCAGCACAACAACTATAGGAGCACACCAGTCCATCGGCTCTTCCACCGACGAAATAACTCCTATTGCCTGCAGTCGGCTGAGCTCTTCTTTCACCCTGGGAAGAAGAGGGTGCAGAATCCTTCGTGGCGCACTGATAGCGTACGGACGTACGTCTTCTCACAGCTTTATCTCGTATGGAGTCTCCAGCTTCCCGAGTCCGGTAAACAAACTTGGAAACTTCTTTTCCACTGAGCCAACAACGGAGATGATTCCAAGTTCATGGGAAGCTTTGCCGCTCAAGAGATTCGAGGCATTGTTGAAGATGTAGACTTCCTCTACACACAACTTTTCTTTGAACTTCATCTCAGCACAGAAACAACCATAGGTAAGGATAGGCTTATGATCAGCCCCACGGATCACTCTAGAGGATGCCTCCAGCCTGGTCCCCGGAAACTCACGGTAGAACACTTGTCGCGACATTACAGATACATCTGCCCCTGTGTCCACCCGAAACTTCACCTCCTTATCACAGACAGTGATAGGAAATGTCCACTGTGGGCCGCGACCTGACTGGTTGCCCACACTTACTTCTCCTAGGAAGACATCTGACGAAGCGTATGAACAAGACTGTAGTTACTTCATTTACAGTCTTGGCCTTCTGACATAACTTGTCAAAATACCCTTTTAGTTGGCATCGCCGGCAGTTCACATATTTGGCAGGGCACAGAGCGATCATGAGCATAGTGTTTCCACACCACGGACACCTCTTCTGACCATACTGTGACGTCGAAGATGCAGACTTCTTCTTGTCATATCGACCTTTGGCATGTATGGCTAAAGCTTCAGCACCGACTACCGTAGTTGACGTCAACTCTCTTACCTGGTTCTTTACCTGGGCTGACTGACGAGCTAGGTATGTTGCAAGCTTCAGGGTTAAGTTCTTATTTACTTGCATACGCTCAGAGAGATGCTTGTCTCGAATGCCAACAACGATTCTGTCCCTAATTAGCTCTTCCTTTAGAGTGCCGTACCCACAATGCTTGGCGAGTGTGTGTAGAGCAGTAATGAAGGAATCAATTGGTTCATCCAGACCTTGCACTCTCCCGTTGAATTTAGCTCTTTCAAAGATTGTGTTATGGCAGATAATGAAGTAATCCTCGAACTTTTTCTTGACACAATCAAAGTCTTGAGACTCATCACTTGCTTCTGATGCAACAAATGTAAAGGAAGACAATATCTCGTCTGCCTTCTCTCCCATACAATATATCAAAGTGTTCACCTGGTGCTGTGGGGATTTGTTGTCTAACCCTGAGGCTACCTTGAATCGTTCAAACCGCTTTATCCACCTGGTCCATGAGTTAGGCTGAGAGAAATCGAACGGCTCTAGTGGTGACACTTGAAAATTCGCCATAACACTTACAGTATAGTGCTCCCGACACAGACGTGTGCACGTGAATTCGTTGCACGTGTGAATCCCGTTTTAGCTGGCTTGCAGTCTTGCCTGTTTACTGGGTCAACCCTGCTGAATTACCTCCAGATAAGAAAATAACCAACAGCTGTTAACACCGCTGCCACCATGTTTCGTAGAAACATAAGATTGTGAGTAACTTATGAGCTGTTTATTCACACGTCAGTGTGGCTTGCTACATGATGTAAAGAGAGCGACTGCCGCACGTGCAGCGCTTATATACGGCAGTCTGGTAGCAGGAGCCACCGTCACTAGCTATATGTGAACACTTGTCACTTGAACACGCGTTAACCAATGGTGTAATCACTAACACAACATATATGACAGACACGGTCACACCTACAGGTCCATAAAAGACTGTTGGGTGGTTTCTCTTGAGTGACCATGTTATACAGGTTCCCATGTATATCTTAGGGGTCGTTCACAATTATCAACATTTTCACAAGTGTACAAAGAATACACTTTTTCGAGACCGCCCCCCCTTCCCCCCTAAAAGGCTACGAAGAAAAATGTTGATTTTTTTCTCTCACTATTCTACATAGAGATACCACCATGCCCGCCATCGTGCTGGTTGTTTACACTGCACTCGGCTGCTAGCTAGCTAGCTCGGTTCGTTCGTTCAGCAGGCCCGTGCGGGGCGATGATGCGAGCGATGCCGGCTGGGGCGCGCATCGCGGAAAATGGATCGACATTTTTCGGAAATGCTGAAAGCGTACGGCAAGCATTGACCCCCTCCCCCCAAGCGTATGGTTTGTACGCTTGTGAAAATGTTGATAATTGGGAACGACCCCTTAATCAACCTGACCTTTATATGAACATATATGTATAAGTTATAACCTCATGACAAGCAAACTAATTAATCTTGTATTAGTCTGAAGTTATCGTGAGTATTTGTTGTGGGAGTACTTTTCCTTCCATCTTCACAAGGATGTGGTTACTTAATTTTGATCAATTTTGTCACTTGTTCTGTGTGTAGTATACGTGTACATTAGTTCTTCCCACATTCTGCATGGGATTCTAGAGTTAACTACTTTATTTGGCACCAGCAACATAGAATTCCTACTCTCGGATTGAATCTGCAAGTACTAACATCATAATTTCCCAACGAATCGGCGAGTATTCTCGAGCCTTCACTCGCTGCTCTTTTGTTCTTGCTTGCTCTTCGCTTAGCTTGCGGGCGATCTACGGAACGGACGGCACGCGAAACGGAGTGCATGGGAGCGATAGCTTCTCCAGCGCCGAGAGAGAGATCAGATTCTTCTTTCCCGAGAGTAAGGACTTTCATTTTTTTCTGGGAGGGGCAGCCGATACTGCGAACGGACTTGTCTCCCTATGGACCCTATGCAAAATTAACGCGAGTCTGGAGTCAAATACTCCCTGATTTACTGTTTGGACCCCCTGATTTGACATATGCAGGAGCCCGTGTGACTCCCTGAAAATTTTGCCATACTACCTACTACCTAGTTCGTTCCAGAGCACGGCCTCGTGGAATTACGGTATTTTTTCAGCAAATATCCAAAGAAAATTTGGCAGACGTGCAACCGGATGAATCTGTATGCGTTATTGTTAATATCTTTAATTTTGAACTTTAGACTACGTACTCCCTCATTTTGCTGCGGACTCTCTCTTTCCGTTGGACTCCCTATTCAAAAGTTAATTTCTACCCCTGATATAGAAAGACCTGCATCCCTTCAGATTATCCTCATAGGAGTAGCTTACCCTATAATGCAGAGACGTGATTCCCTGCAGAGTGTTACCGTACTCTGGGAGGATTAGATGCGTATTAATTAGTGATATATTAGAATACGTTAGGTGTAAGTAGAAGTATGTAAGGCCATCGTTAGCTGTGTCTACGTCGTTTTACTGTGTGTAAGTAGAAGTACGTAAGGCCATCGTTGGCTGTGTCTACGTCGTTTTACGGTGTAAGTAGAAGTACGTAAGGCCATCGTTAGCTGTGTCTACGTCGTTTTACGGTGTAAGTAGAAGTACGTAACGCCAGTGGAGTCACTACAGGAAGTTACGTGCGTAGACAGTACCATATTTGGTCTCGACGTGTACCGCGCATGCGCGTATGTTATTAGCTCATCTGCCATAGTCAGATGCAGCTTGTAGAATCGCATGAGCGTGCGTCCGTTCGTGAGTCCGTGCGTCAACAGTTGGGCACAAATCTTAACCGCTCGACGTACGGTCACGATATTCGGCACATTGGGGAGGATCGTCAAACGAGTGGATGTCGAAGCTGGGGGTCAAAGGTCAACAGGTCAGAGAGGTGTAAAGAAGGGGAACTCGCTCCCTTAACTTAAGGTATAGGGGAAGGAAATGCAGAATTGCGGCAGCAAATCTAAATGGCTCGACCTACGGCTCGTGATAGGTCATGATATAGCATCATGGTAGGGAAAATCCATACACTGTGCCGAAATTGGAGGTCACTAGGTCAAAGTCAATGGGGCAGGCAGGGAGATTTTACGACAAATTTTCTGAGACATGGTCCTGACGGAGCAATTGAAAAAACTTTTTTGTTCGCGGTACCTAGCATTTTTATGGGCTTTATTGAAAGGACGGCATGAAATCGTACTTTCTGCTGACAGTCTGCGAACACAGGGTGTCAAAGTTCCTATTTTTTCCTATTTTCCTGGGCAATTGCCTATCTTCTCAGCTTATTGTTACTGATAAATTCCTATTGTTTTCGCTAATTTTTGAGGGCTTTTCATTTTTCTGAATCCAGATTGTATGTATGCCTGAAAGTCTCAAATGCGCAGGAAATTTAACATTTCAGGTACCCAATTTTCAAAAATTTCCGCATGGGGGAGGAGCCCCCAACCCCGCACCCCTTTACTCTTAAATTAACGTAAATATACTCTTTACTTACACAGATTTTATTTTCATCAGGCCATCTAATGAACACATACATTCCTATTTACATAATTGTGGCTTTATAGTAAAATTATTGCAGCAATTTCTGAATAATCTTATATCATGTGCAATGTATAGTCTTTATTTTTAGCTCATCTGACATATGTCAGATTCAGCTTGTAGAATCGCATGAGCGTGGCATCGTCTGTCCAGTCGTGCGTCCATGCGGTCGTCAACAGGTTGGCAGCAATCTAAACGGACTTCGGATACGGATTCGAAAGTCGGGAAGACGTGGGGGGTACATCGCGAAAACGAGTTGGGATGTCGAAGCTGAGGTCCAAGGCTCAAAGGTCAAGAGGTGTAAAAGAAAGGGAACATCTCCCTCGCTTAAACATTTAAGGTATATGGGAACGAAATGCAGAATTGCGGCAGAAATCTAAACGGCTGCGACCTAGGGTCGTGATTAGTCGGTGTATAGCATCATGGTAGGAAAAGCCATCACTATGCCGAAATTGAAGGTCACAGATCAAAGGTCAATGGGGCACAGGGCAGATTTTAGACATTTTCTGAGGACATGGTCTGACGGAGCCATTGAAAAACTTTTGTTTCAGCAGTGACCTACCATTTTTATGGCTTTATTGAAAGGACCATGAAATGTACTTTCCGCTGACATGCGAAGAGTAAGTGTCGGATAACATTTTGACCCTCAAGAGGAGGGTTAAACATGGATTTGTTTACTGTTAGAAAGAATTTGACTGCCGGGTTTGCTAGTAGAATCTATAAATGCCTGGATGTATGAGGCTACAATGTCACAGTGAAATTTCAAAAGCTAAATTTGGTTGAAGTAGGTTTATGCTCCTTAAATCGTATAATATCTATGCCATTCTGTACTGTCAGTATGTTACATGTAACTTATGCCACTGCCAGTGGCCACTGCCAGAGCATGTGGTGGGGATAGTACTGTGTAGTTCTCGCCTGCGTTAATTAGTTAGAGGTGGCAGCTCTCTATTTCAGCCTGTAGGCTTGCGTAGGTAAATGGATGAGTGCTTACCTACTCTGTCTTGCAAATAGTTGTTACTATGGCACTTTGGCTATACTACGTACGATGGGAGCTTCCATCTTTAATCTTAACACACTCAAACGTACGCGCCATCTCGTGGCAACTTTCATAACGATCCCAACAAACATGTCTTCGAGAAGGTTCCTGATACCATCCCAGTGTTCGAAATAAGGGCTATCCGTTTGTCCGTACTTGTCCATTTCCACGGAGGACTAGTAGATCTGTCCGGTAGCTTGTCCGCCGGACAAGCAGCTTTTTAGAGCAATTTTTCATAATTTTCTACCATCGCTGGGCGCTGCTGGGAAACCCGAGTTAACATAGTATAAACATGGGCTGCCGGAGTGCCACCCGAATTAACATATAGTATAAACATTTATGTGAGGTTATATAAAAACGTTACCGCCTTGCTAGCTCCACGAAATGGTCTTGCTAGGGTTAGAAGACCATCAGACAATCAGTCTGATAGACAATCAGACATCTGTATAGACAATCAGTTGCACAGCCTCGTCCGGCAGTGCTACCGCCTCGAGAAAGAGAGAAAGAGAGAGAGAGCGAGAGAGAGAGAGCGAGGGAAAGAGAGTGAGAGAGAGAGAGAGAGAGAGAGAG